GGGGTGGGGGGCACTGGGGGGAGGGCAGCAGGGTGGGAGAGGGCAGGCAGGCTGGGGATGCGATGGAGGCACTCTGGGCAGAGGTAAAGAGAGGGGGAAGGAGGTGAAGGCCACCTAATTCCAGGTGCAAAGGGTATCTGGTTTCCAAAATTGCTGTCTCTTGTCACCAAGGGGGTGACGGCAGAGTGACCGTGCGCACTGCAGCCCAGGGGCTGGACGGGACCCCAGCGCGGGGGCTGAGCTGTGGCTGCGCAGGTGACAGCGGTGGGGACAGTAGCACAGGGTCTGTGCAGCTCAGAAGAGCCAGTGCTACCCCTCCTCTGGTACGCGGGTCCACCTGCCCGGCACCCGAGCTGGGCACACTGGGCACACTGGGCATGCTGGGGATGCAGCACTGGTAAAATAATGGGAAACCAGACCCGGCCTCGGGAAGCCTTGGGCTGATGCTTGGTGTAGGGACAGGGCCCTGGAGCTCCGTTAAAGAGAAGCACCCTGGGGTGGGGAGAGCCCAGCTTTGCCATCCTCACGGCTCCCCACTGCGAGGGCCAGGGCCAGGAGACCCCCAAAACAGCCTGGGACCCCCCCCACTCCCTGCCAGCGGGGCTGGAGGCGGGGGCCCGGCGGGCAGGCGGCGCGGTCCAGCGGGCGCAGCGGGAGCGAAGCCGGCAGCTGTGTGGTGCGAGGCGTCGGGAGGAACCTCACCAAATCGCTAACTAGGGGGATGGGTTTTCGCTTGCGTATGTCCGGCATGCTGTCTATAATGATCAGCCCGCCACCAGGCCTGCAAGAAGAGACCAGAGTCAGCGAGGAAGGGGAAACTGAGGCGGGAAGGGGCCCCCCGCTATTGCCCCATCTTCGCTTGGGATTTGGCGGTCAGGATGGCAGAGCAAGCCCCGGGTGGCTTGGGACTCACCCATCGGACCCTCATCCCTGGGGCAGGGACCACCAGACTAAAAACGGGGTGGGGGAAGGGGATTCGGGCAGAAAACTGGGATTTTCCCCACGTGAAGATGTTTTGCTTCAGTGGTGTGACAGTGAAACGCAGGAAAAAAAACACCCATTTGGCTTAGCTTTGGCTTTGCAGCGTGGAGCGGGAGGGCTGGGGCTTCCCTCTGGGGGGTGAGCACCGAGCTGTTCTGCGGCAAAACCGAGGCAGAGCGGCTTGGGCAGAAGCGCGGCTGCACAGCCTCCAGCCCGGTCCGCAGAAAACCCCGGGTCCCGGGGGTTTCCCGCGGGAGCCTGCCACGTTCTGCCTGGGGCAGCGGCAGGGCTGCCTGCGAGGGCGAGGCAGGGGCGAGAGCCACAGCCCACCCGGGTGAGAGGTTCAGGGTCCCCCATGGAAGCCCCGACTCGAGCCCCGGATGGAAGGAGCGAAGCGGGAGCTGCTCCTCAGCTCAGTCCCGTCCCAGCCCACTCACCTCCTCGCTCTACCTCTCGGCAGTGGCTCTCAGGGACACGGAGCAGTGACATCTCTGCTGGCTCCTCCAAGAGCACCGGGCTACCAGCATTCAGCCCAAAAACCCGGCCCCGGCATGCCCACAGCTCGGCAACACTTCCCCACGCCAGCCCCCCAACAAGCTCATTAATCACACCCTAATGAGAAGGGAAAGCAGCCCGCAAGACCCCACGGGGACAGGAAGCACCGGCTTCCCCACGTACTCACCCGCCTTTGAACCACAGGGATTTGGCTTCTCCATCACCTTCCCCGCGGGCCTGCAAGACACAGGGCGGCCGTCACGGGTGCAGGG